TATATATATATATATATATATATATATATATATATATATATATATATATATATATATATTACAAATAAATAAGTAAACAAATATAAATTCTCCCTCTTTTTAAATATTCTCTCTGACTTTTATGTTTTGAGAGGCAAACAATTTAAGTTTGATCGGAAATTTGTGCATGAAATTTTCAATTTATTTGAAACGAGATTTATATATTTGTAAATTACATAAAAAAAATACGATGAGTCACAATAAATGATAATTTCAATTGTTTAAAAAATTTATGAAAAATTTACCGTCATAAAATTGTTTTACTCTTGAAATTCGAAAAGTGACATATAAAATAGGACGGCGAGAGTACATATATAACTAATACCGACATAATTAATTTTACCTTCTATCCCCCATTAACTTACATAAATTCCTTCATAAATTATGTTGATATTAATTATATAAAATTAAAAAAAGAAAAACATCGCGTAAAATTAATACTTAGAATGCACATGTATGGATAACAAGAAGTTGGACTTCTTATTATGACTCTAGATGTGTAATGATGTAACAATAAAATAACGAACACCACTTATTCACTCAGTTGTTTTATTTCAATTTAAAAATATATAATTTAGGTTCAAATAAAACCATAGAAAAACGTATTACTCAATATATTAGATAATATTCTGGAATTTTAAATAAAACTACTCACATCTTTTTATTAGTAAATAAATTTTTTACAAAATCATTAACTAGAGATTATCTATTAAGAGACTAGATTTTTTAAATTTACTAAAACAGTTGAGATTATAAATGAAATAAAATAAAATTTTAAGTCATTATCTGATAAATTAATACAATTTAATAAAAAAATGAATTTTCTTTTATAAATTTAATTTTTTAATATTAAATTTAATTAGAAAAGAATTATGAACTTTTTTTTACTTTTATTAATTTATTTTTTTAATATCAAACTTAATTAGAAATTTATAGTTGATGGAATTGTGTTAACGACGCAATAAGTAAATATTTTTCTAAAAGAATTCAATATGCAATTATCTGAAGTAATGCAATATCCTAAGTAAATATTTTTCTAAAAGAATGCGGAACAAAACTTCCACAGATAACAATTATAACTAATCAAGATTAGTGATAATCTAAATCAATTATTGAATCAAACACAGGGACTAATCTAAGCGTGTACCGCTTAATGGGGTGGAATGCATATATGGATGAATAGGGAAACAACTTTCGTTTTCTGCTAAAATACGATCTTCACGTTGTTGATTTTCCTCTCTTAATACTTTCAACTTCATATCCCGTTCCTTTTGACGTTTGTAATATTTTCTAAAATTATCGATAGCATAATAACCTTCCGTCATCATAAGAACGCAACCGCCTACCCATGGATTATCATCAGAACCATCATTGCTCGTATAAGTTTTACCATAGTGTCTCTCAGCCATTGATCCACCTTCGCTAACCCGAACACCGCCTTTCAACATACTAATTTCACCTCGGTGTCTCCGAGCCATGTCACTCATGTTCAACCCAGCCATATGATTTGATAGTACACTCTCCAAAAAATTTTACGATAAATTAAACAAAGAAGACAGTTTATTTTTCTTATTACAATGAAAAAGTTGGTATAAAACCTTTTACAATACCCTTTATATCACGTATAAACCCTTCTCCAAGAATAAGGTAATGTTTATAAATCCAAGTCGTACTGAAATACAATTTAAATTTCCCTTTGTTTTATTAATTCAATTTCAATTGGACTTCCATATCATGTCGACTTCGCAAAACTTACATTAATAATTTATTTTATACTAAATATAAATTATCGTATAAGCTGATGCGGCACCGTTTAATGACCACTATTAATATTTATGTTTTTTTTTTAATTTTTAAAATTTTCCTTATTTTTCCTCTATTTATGTATTATATGAAAAAGTTAAGTTGTTACTTTAAAATTATATTTTCTAAGTTACAATTTACAGCTCCCTTATTTAATCTTCTTTATTTCTCTTTTTTTTTCCCGGTTTTTTAAACCAAAAGGATATAATTAATTCTCTAAATAGGAGACTTAATGGTTACTCTACAAATCAAAACGTTTATTTTTTCTTCTAGTGTTTTAGTTCTCATGGCTTCACTGTCTCTATATAATATTCTCAAAGCTTCTTTTTTAGGAAAATTGTATATAAAGTAGTAAACTATTAATTCAAATTAAATGTAATAGACATAGTTTGATTTAATTGTATCTCATAGAAAATTGTTGTTATTTCGCCTCTCTCCTAGTGAATCTCGGTTGCCACTCTCGTTCACTCCCTCGCCTCTCTCGCTTTTACACAAATGCATATGTATAAAATGCGCTTCTATTTGTATAAAGCGAGAGAAAATTGTATATATACATATATTGTCGTTCCCCTTCTCTCCCCCTCCCAGATCTCGCTATCAATCTCTCCCTCGCTTATACAAATCAAAATGTATAAATTGTGTATCTGTTTGTATAAAGCGAGAGAAAATTATATATATACATGCAAATACATATATTTTTGTCTTATACATTTATAATTATACAATACAAATATTCTCCTGCCCAGTTTTCTTTTGCGTTACTCTCTTTCTCATTTTATACAAACACAAATTATAATTGATCTTTTGTATATGTATACCGAAACTGAAACAAATTATATATAATTGCTTTCTTTTGTATATGTATAGCGAAATATACATAATTTATGTTCAACTTCTATTTGAATTTTTTTGGTTTGTTTTTGTGCAACTAACGAGTTCTTTTTAGGGTTACTTTGCATGATCCTCTATTGAGAAAGACTGATGAATAGGTTACTGTTTGTTTGTGTACATTTGGGAGAAAATGAGAAAGAACTTCTTTCTGGTTGATGGTTTAAAATAGTTCAATTGAATACTTATCGTTACCAACCTAAACGGTTGTAAATTTCAACCAAGTTGAACAATAAAATCGCAAAAAATCAGCTTTCTGATGCTCATGTATGGCAAAGTAAAATCAATATTCAAAGAATAATTACATTAAGTTAATGTACAACTGCATGAGATTGTTAGACATAACGACAGCTTACAATAAGGAAGAAAATATTATAGCCCATCAAACTTTTGAATACCTACACCTTCTTTTTTCGAGCTCTTTTCTCTTTAAGAGGAAACATGGCCAACAGAAAACAAGAGTCAGATGGCTAACTAAGCTTTCCAATCTCAAAAAATGTTGTGTGAACATCATGTTTGTGGTACAAAATCATCTCAAAACCAGAAACTAAGACGACGATGCTGCACGATCAGATTCTATCATGGATTTAATATAGAATTCCCCTGCCTTGTAGGATGACCTAACCATGGGGCCAGAAGCCACATATCGAAATCCCTGCAGAAACACCAGGTAGTTTATTAACACTACGCAAATAACTAGGTGCTGCATTTGATATCAAAATATAGTAATGAAGCAACATTCCGAGCTTCGAGTACGACCATGTCGTGCAACAATAAAGTAGTTTCAATTAAGCTAGATGATGCTGAGTGAAGTTGGACAAAATAAAAAGCAGAAATAAGAAAAATAACCAATCCATGATATATTCTGAGCAAGATAGCCAGAGACGTAATTCTCAGATTTATCTATTACCTGTAAGACTAGTTTAAATACTTGAAACTCGGAATTGACTTGTTATAAATCAGAGATTTGAACAGTCAAAGTTCTTTCTAATATTTTCTTCGAAATAACAAGTTGTAACAAATGGGCAATGGCTGACAAATTAATAAGGGAAGCTGCTTTGGCCTTCACCTAATTTATCTCAACCTTCGCCATAGTAGCAAACTTACAATATCCAAACCTTAAAACAGATTAGACATTGAGATATATATTTTCTTTAGATGTGATATAGTATCTCCATCACAAGCAATATACTATATTACCCAATACAAACTCAGGAACATGATATGCAGAAAGACTTTAAATAATAAAAAGAAAGGAGGAGTAAACAAACCATTTGTGTGCCGAAAACTTGATAATTCTCAAAGGCTTCGGGGGTTATGTATTCAGTAACAGGCATGTGACGCTTTGATGGTCTCATGTACTGGCCAAATGTCATTACATCAACACCCGCCGCACGCACTTTTTCCATTGTTCTAACAACTTGTTCAGGGGTTTCCCCACAGCCCAACATTATTGAAGTCTTTGTCAATGTCCCAGCAGGGGCATACTCCTTGGCCATCTTCAGAACGTCCATGGACTGCTTGAAGTTAGCACGATGATCTCGTACTACACTCTGAAGCTCTTCAACGGTTTCAATGTTATGAGCAAAAACATCTAATCCAGATTTTGCAACTTTCTCTACACACCCAGGATCACCTCGAAAATCTGGAGCTGCAGGATGAAATCAAATAATATCACAACCTTTTTGTTTGACTTTGACTATGTGATCGTATAAAGGATACACAAATAGGCTGGCGTTACACAAATTTAAATGTCAAATGTCATTCACTATTTCTTCTCTTTGATTAAACTTTTAGAAAGAAGGTCAATATGTCTGAGAATAGCACTTGAACAAAAGGAACCATTACACTTGCCAGAATAGCACTTGGACAAAGGGAACCATTGAACTTGCCAAAATCCCTGTTTGAGCAGCTAGAGTGCCAACTAAACAAAGGCTCCAAACCACTTATTAACGTATTCTTAACTGATGGATAAAAGGGAAAATAAAGGGACAAAAGTTAAACTTCTATAATTTGTATGTATTTAATTAGTTATACAATGGAAGAAAAAGCATAAATGGTATCTACAGACAAGATCCTTTGTCTATAGGACTTTGACAGAATCTTGTGACCAGCTCCTGCTCCTCTCATTTCAAAAAAGACAAAAAAAATCAACTCAAATGACATTTTCCCAGTAAACTCATTTTAAAATAACTTCTGCGATACCCAAATGAACGTTTGACCGCTTAATTTTGGGACAGCTACAACAAGGTATAGACTACTTTTGTAACTGTATTTGAAGGTCAAAAACTAGGAGGTAATACCTTTAATCGTATGTCTTACAAACAGAAATCTAGATTCTCAAAAGAATCAGACCAAAATAAATATGTGAATTTCATACTCTAGAAAGTCATTATGTCATGAGCTCTGTTGGCATTAAGTTGTCATGGCTACGAGAAAAGGATAAATGCTAACAGATGAGATTCAGGCACTCATACAGCCAAGGTCCACTAACAACCCGAAGATAATCAAATCAATTGAAGCACATCAAACTGATGGCGCAGGGGGGAGAAGGAGAAAGAACCAAAGAGGATGAAGTACAAGAACAGAAGCATGTGTATGGATGACAAGGAGTTGGACTTCTTATAATTGACGCTAGATGTGCAATGATTGTTCAGTGATGTAACAATAAAATAAGGTACACCACTTATCTGCACAAGGCAGACTGCTGCCATTATCAACCTAATTGCAGTAACTTCATTGAAATTTTGTAGACTGTCTTACAAAATCAGATCAAGCACAAAGGCAAAAAAGTAAACGAAGTCTGAAGCCATATAAATGTTCACAGCTTTTTGGGGTTCTGG